AAGATAAAACTTGGAGAGAAAAAAAGTAGAAAAAGACAAAAAGGGACAATAAAGAAAATAGGCACCTTTTCAACATCCTTGCAGTGGAAAGCAACCAACCAAGAGTGGACACATTATAGGGTGAATTGTGGAACATTTTGCAAATGTCTGAACATTAGAAAATTAGCAGTATTCGAAGAAAAAGGGGACCAAAAGAATTTTTAGGGCTGACATGTCAAGGAGCAGACCCTTGCCTGGAGAGAAAATAAGGAAATATGAACCTTTGATCAATTAAGGGACAGGATCGGCTCAAAAAGTATTCAGCACTTACAAATCCCGAGGAAAAACCCTACCTTTTGACAACTTTTTGGCACCATTTAAAAAGGAATCATCCCCCTTCTTAGTTTATGCTAGTTTTCCATTTTTCTCTTTACGTATTCTGAAATACTTTTTATTGTGCTCCTTAGCATGAGCTAAGTTTTATTTAGTAGGCGATTGTGAAGTAGTAGTAACCTTCTTAGTTGAACTTATGATGTAATCTACTTATCTTTAATGAAACTTGTGTTGTTCCTAGATTTAATATGTCATGATGTTGTGAAACAATTTTTCTGAAAAACCATCCTAAGTCAAACCCCTGGTAGATGTAACCCTCACAAGGTATTGTGGAATATTAACAAAAATCTTAGAGTATTTGCTCTCAGAGAAAGGAACATCCAGAAGTAAGAAGTACTGTTATGTGTAAATTACTTTTGCTAGCAATCCCTCCAGCCTTCTTCATAGAAGAAGACAACATAATCTTCCTTGAGTTTCAACAAATTAGACTCCTAAAGTAACTTGGAGTTAATAAAGCCTTTTTGCTTCGATTTGCTTAGGGAGCAAAACGTGTAGACAGAAGAATCTTTCTAATAACCGGAAAGGTTGCTGGAAGCATGTTTTATTCCTAAGAACGAATGAGACATTAGGAACGACCAAGAAGGTGAAAATACAGATCCCAAGCCTACATCTTCCTACTCTTGGAACAACATTACTTCTGTTTATCTTCTACTAAACAACTATAAAAACTCTAAAAGCATACTTCTACTATGCTCTCTGTTCCTGCTTCCTATTTCTATTGCAAATGATTTTCAACTGTTGCTCTCATTTTCAATGTTTTCTAATTTTTGTCAAGGCTAAGTTCAATTGAGTTTAAGGGAAGACCTAGTTCTTAGTCACTTTAGATGTTATTGACTTTGTTGAATTAGCTGATAATGAGCACTTTTTGGTGAACCTTAATCTTAGAACAAATAGGTTCCTTGATCAGGATTGCTCTTTACTTTCTATTTGTTTTTAGTTTTTTCTTATTTTCTCGTTCACATTTCTTTAAATGTCATTTTTACACTTGTTTCCTGAGGACAATAATCTTGGGTTCACGTGAAACCTTGCATTACTTTATGTGCACGCTTGAACAACTTGGATAGATTTGCTCTTAAAGTGATTAGTTGCTCCTTAATCCATTTACAATTGCTCCTCACATATTTTGCTCTTATTTAACCTCGAGCATGAAAATTGAGTAGTCATGAAATAATTATAGTTATGATTATATATATGCAGCTTTTGTGATTTTATTAAACTATATTGTGCTTAATGCCATATGTGTGATGTTAATACACCAGCAACTAACGTGGTGTTACAAAGGGTTTTCCTATATCACGAGAAACTCAATCTCCATATAACTGACCACCTATTATATACTAGCTTTGCATCGTTTTAAGCATAATAAGGTAAAAAATATGTCAAGAATTAATGATTTTTTTTTCTAAGAAGAAAAAAGATATTACCTTAAATAAATTATATGAATGCATTGTAATTAAGAGTACGAAACATATATAAATCAAGAAGCGTAATTAATATTCTCTGTATAAATGTATTTTATGATGAAAGCATATTTTTTTCTCATATTAATTAAAGGAAAAAAATACCACGTCATTAAAGAATTAGATTGTGATATCCTATATATGTAAAATTATTTATTTGAATGTTATACTAATTAGGTGATCTTATATTATATAATATAGGGGGTCTCTACAAAGAAGGAAGTATTTTTCAATTATCACTGTGGTTTTTCCTCTTAAAATATATATTGTGCAAAATATTGAAAACATGGACCACAAATTGAAAAGCACTCGTATATCGCCCTCATAATTTAGAACAACTATACCGAGCGAGTAAGTTCTTAATCCAAGATGGGGCCTTTTCGACGATGGAGCTAAGGTGGTGTTTGGTTGGGTGGTATTTGAAATAAACCCATGCAAATGAAGTTGGTATTCCTCGATGCATGCATTTGGTTGGGAGTGATTTGGGTGAATACCCAGGCAAGGTCAATGCCTATCTTTCTCGTTTTTGTGTCGTTTGTCCATGCTTCTGCACTGTTCAGAATCCTGATTGCTCGGTGGTTTTTTACAGAAACCCGGCTAATGCACGTGGGGCCCACAACATTTGAGACCATTATACCCTCCGATATTATCCTGATTGTGTGGCCAGCAGCGAATGGACTGAAGAGTAGATACAAAAAGTCCCAGCTTAGCTTCGTTGGATGCGTTAAAGACCAGTTTGGTGATCGGAAGAAGTGGCTGTGCATGGTGGGGGAAGTTGACGTTTGTCTCTTCCTAATCCTGGTTCAGTTTTCTTCATGAGGTCAGTGTTCTCGGCAAACAAAAAAACAAAAGCAAATAGCGAGATTCGATCCGCACAGGCACCAAATCCTTACCAAAAAAATTTCGAAAGAGAAAAAACATCAAAAACAAAGAAAAAGAGCTGAACAAAAACACAGAGAGAATCACAGAAAAGAAAGGAAAGAGGAGCAGTTGGCAGTGAGAGAAGAAGGTTTAGAAGCACGCACCTAAGGAAGCAAGTTTTGGTATACGCACTGGCCACTTGGACTCGTAATGGGAAATTTGTTTTTTGGGGTTAAATTTGTAATTTCATACAATTTATCCATCTTTATTTTACCCCAAACCAAACATAGATTTCATAAAAGTTACTTAATTTTCTCAGTAAAATTTTTCTCAACCAAACAACTTTTTTTACATTTTTCTACCTATCTCACTTTCCAACCATTTTCCTATCTATAACATTTCCCTATCATTCGTAAAATTTCTCCTCAACCAAAAGAGTTTCTTTTATCTCTTCTTCTTTCTTTGGATCTGAAATGAACTTTCAGTACACATGCAATAAAATTAATTAAATATCTATTACTGTATTACATATAGATATAGGGTGGAAAGTTTTAAACACATATAACGAAGAAAAAAAAATACTGCAACTAAAACGGGATCACACACTATATGTTTTGCTGTCAGTTACTTTAGAGGTCACTCTCGTTAAAGGAGAGGAAAATTATAGGTATTTTCAGTATTTATACATGAGTGGTTAGATTATAAGGAGGACATGAAAATTGTTAAATCAAAATTATTTTCTTTATTGAATGGAAAATGTTTCTCTAAAATCAAAAGGATAGTATACTCTCGGGAGAACATAGTTGAGATTGTAAGAATTGTAAACAAAAAAAGTTGTAAACGTAACCTGCCCAAAATCAAATTATATATCCCTAAAGTAAGTAAAGATGTATTTGATTTTGAATTTGTGTGATAGGAGTCCGATGCATTTTATATTAAATAAAATGTATATGCACTATTTACTTGCTCATTTTAGAGACAAAAACACTTTTGAGGATCTTTCTATTTCCCTAATGTTTGAGAGTTAAGACTATCAGAATTCAAAAAGCAAATATATAACTACATTAAAAACATTAAGGTATATAACTTCATACTGAGAAGGTATTCTTGTATTGATGAAATGATAGTTAGACAATACCAAATATATTTATTTGACATCGGTTGATTTTATAACCAGCAATTTGAACGAATTGATCTTTTTGAAATGGTGAAAATATGCCAGCTCTTTCCGTGAAGAATGATTGCCCAGTAAGGGGAATCTAGAAAACATAGAGAATCTAACTATAAGATAGTTAACAGATTCAAGCCATGTAAAGAATCAAGAACAGGGATTTTTCTTATTACATGTTTATAATGGTCACTAATTAACGAATTCTTCCTAGAATTAAACTCTGGGGTAGGTTATATTTACAAACATTTTATTTACAAATTCTTATAAGCTACACTGTGTATTCTCCAGAAATACATTCTTAACCGAGTGTGTTCTTGGGAATACATAGTTGAGTTTGTAAACAAAAAAATTTATAAATATATATAATCTTTCCCTTAAACTCTTTTTAAAATTCAAAATTCACAAATATAAAGCTTTGGTTTGTATGACATTTCTATATGGTATAATATGCATGGCTTCAGATTTTTTCTTCCTAGCTATTGTGAAGTTTTCTAGCAATCAGATAAAGTAGCATGCAACCATACGAGTCTTAAATGTAACCATAACTCGTGAAATGTGGTTATGTAACAATTCTTCCAAAGTTCATTCTCAGAGGCAAAAAACTAGGAATTTTTTTTTTCTTAAATTTCTCACTGTAAACATTCATAGGACAATGATAATGAGGAATTTTCCTGTAGGCCTAATTATCCAATTGTTTTGCGTTCATCTAAATTAAAGCTAATATGTCCGTGTCGTTAATTGTAACATAGATCAGGATGACATGCAATTTGTAAATCAGAGAGTAAAAAAGCAAGTTCACCTTTCACTAGGGGTAATCACGGTTATTAACAATAGATAACTGAACATTAATGTACAAATCAGTCAGTACAAGCCTCCGCTTACCTTATACAATACAAATTAATTCTCATATATATATACCTTACAGCACCAAGCCCTTAAAACTCATATATGTGGAATACCAAACTAGGATAGATCTTAGAATAGAGACTTCTCTGGCAGAATTAAGAACACCACATTTTGACCTTAGCAAACCAGGACAACCCAAACAATATTATAATACGAGTTATGATTACTTGTTCTAAATATAATAACTAACTAAGGCACTTATGATTCCCAAGAACATAGTAGAATATAAGTTAAGGCTTTCCAGGGGATTTTGGTTCATGGGCTGGATTTGCTCTTGCTCCTGGATAGTCTGCAATCATATCCATCATCATTCTGCTCTCTACAATTCCTTCCTTCATGTTCCTTAACCCCAAACTCAGATCCTCCTGCAGGGATAAAGAAAATCATACTAAGAATTTACTTGTACAAAGTATACATTACTACAATAATGTATCACAAAACAAATTTAGGGATGACTGATGAGAATATATAGTACCCCATAAAAAAAATGTTATAACTTGTTGACTTGGGCATTTTTAGGGAAATCAGAACTTGAGATCTTTGCTTTGAACTTTTTTTTTCTTTTTTTTGAGATAACTTCAAATATTAATCAGTGAAGATAAAAACTGATTCTGTCAAGTAGTTAGGGCACTAGACACAACCATGTTCCTTTTGAGGTTATTTTGCCAATTATTTTTTTATTTGGAAATTTAGGATATATATATATATATGTTGCAACAACATATGTCCTTAGAAAATTAAGAAGGAAATAAGGAGAGATAGAGAGACAGAGAACCTTAGCAAGATGATCTTGCACTGATGGATCCATTTTCCAGATCATGGAGCTTCCTATATATATTCACAATTTCACATGATGAATCAGATTAATAATCCTGAATATTCATACATTAACAAACCAATAAAGGTTCTGAATCAAAACCCTTGAAACTCACTTGTTGTAGGAACAGCAGCAGTATATAAAAAACAGGAAAGAGCCAGAAGAATAACCATAAGCCTGAGGAGGGCTTTCTTCTCCATGGTATGTCAGAGTAGATATATATATATATATATAGAGAGAGAGAGAGAGAGAGGGATATGATAAGCGATTGAAAGAAAAGAGAACAAAAGTAGAAATGAAAAGCTTGGTGCGATGACATAGGGGAATTGCAAAGGGGTACTTTATATAGAAGAGCAAGGTTGAACTACTGAATTAAATATCTGGAAAAGAATAACAACAGCATGACTGCAAAGTAATATATACACGGCATGGTGGCATCCCTTTAGGTATTTTCTAACTTTGAGTTATGATTTGTAATGTCTCTTTCATGGATAAACTAAACAGGCATTTACCACCATAAATACACGGTGAGATAGGTGTTCTGCTAAGTACTCATCTCCAATCATTTAAGCATATAGAGCTCTTGTTGATATAACTTCAATGATTATTTTCATTTTTTTGACCAATCCCTTCCTGTTAACCAGTCTTCATTATCTCTCTTTTTTTGTTGTTTTTCTCTCTTTAATATTAATCTGAGGCTTTATTCTGACTATAATACTCCATTTAATTAAGGAGGTACCAAATGGTTTTTACTTTGTTTTACCGCTCTCATATTTGTTAACAAAGCTACTAGAAATTCCTTTGTTTTCTATAATAATCAGCTTAATGATCATGTCATATAGACTTATCAAAAGTCATATTCAATGGCACAGAATTAAGTTGAAGCTAACAAAAGACGGCTATGCACATGACGTGATAGACATATGCTTTTCAGTACGCACGTTTATGACATGCATATTTACTTTTTTAGATTAATCACCACTTACCATAGCTATTGGCGATCGAGAGAATTGGATCCATGTGCCCATTTTTTAGCAGCAACAAACACCAATAAAATAATATGCATTTACTGTTTTCAGAATAAGTTGGTAAATGGTAAACAAATATAGAAACCCCCATTAAATGTCAAGAAACCGCACACAAATGATGCATCCAAATACTATTGTTTCCTTTGTCGATGGCTAAACGTGTTATCTATTTGGAACTGCACTTGCCTTGCCGACATATAAAATGCTATAGAATAGAATTCATAACAAAGAAATAAAAAATCTGACATGTGATATATATATATATATATATATATATATATATATATATATGGTCATGATCATTTTATATAGTGTAACTTACAAATTACACTCTCAATTTTAATCATTGCTCCTATATATTCATACATAATGATTCTGATTTATTATATATTTAAACTCTTAGATATATACAAACAAATTAATGATCTATATTTGTAATAAAACTATTTATTCTTACACCAGCATAAATAAAAATATCTTGATATATATATATATATATATATATATATATATATATATATAACAAAATTTTAGTACACCGCGCAAGTACCTAAGTGAGTACTTCCTTATTGCAAATGCGGAAAAAAAAAATTCCCTCTACTTCTTTTTTTCATTTATATTTTCATTTATGTGCCATTTTTTTCACATTTGAAAAAAAGGAAATATCTACTTAAATACACCAGATGCACTAAAGTATTTTTCCCTCTAGAGAATAACGTGCACAATTGACTTCGAGTGTACCAACAATTTGGTCCATGTACCAAATTTTGGTTCTTAGGTTTAGAAAAAGAAAAATAAAATAAAACAAAACAAACGAATCTAGGGGGTCTGATTGATTTGTGTTTTCAAAAACAGTTTTTAGATTTTAAAAACAATAAACCAAAAAATCTTATTTGAAAACCTGTTTTCATTCATCTTGTTTTAAAAACCGTGTCTGCTTTTTAGTTTTGGAAATTGAAAAAGCAAAACAAGTTTTACATGTTTTTCAAAGTTGTTTTGTGCTTTTTAGTTTTGTGCGGTGGCAATTTGATAAATAACGGGATTCATTAATAGCATTTTTGTAATTAAATCGATTTGTTTTTAAATTATTTTGCAGTGGCATTTTGTAAATCTGAGAATTCATTAATGGTATTTTTGTAAATAATTACATCTTTTTTATAACTTTCAAACTAACTATATTCAAACAAGTTTTATTGTTTTTTTACTCTCAAAATCAATTTTCAAACTTCGTTCTTAAAATAGTTTTTAAAAACAAAAACACATTCAAACACACCCCTACTACTCTCCCATCCCCACTTTATCATTAATAGTATCGTGATAAAAAAAGTTTGCATACATGGCACTATAAAAAAGAAAAAAAAAATTGCTGTTTTCCTAGGTCCTCATGAATGATCCACATATCTACTTGAGATTCTTTCATGATATGAACAAACTGCAGGGAGATACGTGTACAATGTATGTTTTGGTGCACCGTGGGGTTGTGTTAAAGATTGGAATATTTGATACTTGTTAGGGTGACACAAATGGGCGATATATATTGTAAATAAACAAAGTGTCCTTAAGAAGGACAGCTTCCCCAAAAAATAGAGGTTTATAGGAATTGCAATCTATTATCCCAGGTGTCAGGTGTTCCTTTTTTGCAAAGGAGTTGAGTGCGTTGGTAGGTAGGTGTTTAGCACCCTTATGGGTATCATCATCTTTGAAGAACGGCATAAATTGTTGCTCATCGAGGTATTACTAATCAGTGTCCACCATGAACATGAGCCCAGTCCATTAGGCCCCTCGCCATCAATTCTAGAATCTCATAAAGCTATGCCTTTGCTAATTATTATATAAAATTTCTCTGTTGTAATGGGCCTATATCTGGGCTTTACACCTGCCCAATACTTCTATTGTTTACTATTTTTGGACCCAAGTTCTGGTGTAAAGGTTAACATGCGTTGTTATAATATAGATAAATATCTGAAAGTTTTTTTTTTATTACACTATAAGGTGGTATTTGGACCACAACATTTCGATTAATTCATCTTTCAAATTTAGTCAAAAGGAACCTACCCATACCCAAATTCGAGATTATTAAAAAAATATTGAAGTATGAGCTCAAAAACTTATATAATTAAAATACCCTTATATATATATATATATATATATATATGGAGTAGGTTATATTTATAAATTTTTTGTTTACAAACTACATTATGTTCTCCTGGGAGAACACTGGTTATACTATGTTCTCTCAGGAGGGAGAACATAGTGCAATTTTGTAAAAAAATTTAAAAAAAAATTATAAACGGATCTGTCCTATATATATATATGGAAAATCAATCCTCCTGTTATAGGAATTTGAGTCCATGTCCTGCAGACACTTTGAAGGTTGTGAAACTATTTTATTTTTTCATTTATTTATTTAAAATAGTGGGGCCTACAATTATTATATCAGTAACATGACAATAGATATATCTTGTGACATAACGCATACAAAGCCCATATATATATATATATATATGAGGCAGGATCCTTTGACACCGGTGTCAAATTTGAAGTTTGACACTTCATCTGAGAGACGTTAGATCAAAAAAGATCAATGGTGTCATATGCTTACAAATCAGAGTCGTTGATCTTTTTTGATCTAACGGCTCTCAGATGAGGTGTCAAACTTCAAATTTGACACCAGTGTCAAAGGATCCTACCTCTCTCTCTCTCTCTATATATATATATATATATATATATATATATATATAGGTTCAGGATCATTTTACACCAGTGTAAGTTACACTCTCAATCTTGTCTATTGATCTCATTTATATCTAAAAGCTTTAATTTTGTAATAATGTGAGCCATTGGATACAAGTGGATCAATAGCCAAGATTGAGTGTAAGACTTCTAGGGAGCGTTTGGTACAAGGTATTTTGTAAGATTCCCGAGAAACTGAATATTTCTAAATTTTTTATTTTCGGATATTATCGTAAACTGAATGATCCCATCATATTTTTGAAAATCGTGATTCCCAGATAAAAAAAAAATTCTTCTACCAAACGCCCCCTAACTCTTATACCGGTGTAAGAATATCTTGTCCTATATATATATATATATATATATATATATATATATATATATATATAAGTAGTGGGTTGGTAGGTGGGTATCAAGTTGCCTTGCAAAGAAGCACGTCACCCTTATGAAGTAATGGAGAAAGCTGTCCCCTCTACAACAAATTAATCAAATTGTTCTTAATTAATCCCCGTGCACAACTTAATTAATTATCAAGTGTTTGTGGGCTTGGCTCTAGTGAGTTGTTGATGAAAATATATATTAGCAAGCTTGGTTTATTGTAGGTTGTACAATCTTAGATGATGTCTCCTGTTAGTTGTTACTTAAACATAATCATTTCATGTTAACCTAGCTACCTTGCTAAGAAATCTCGTATAAGCATCTTATATTTAAAAAAATAAGTTCCTCTTCATTGCTGATTATTCTCCATTCTAGGACAACTCTTTAATTAATTGAATCTAGGGGGGCCTCCATTATAAGTTGCTTTGATGAGAACCGGTTAATTATGTACAATTCCTGATACAAATAAAATTATTGGTTGCCCATCCATGTTCATTCAAAAAGGCGTACTTATAAGTGTCCTTAATATGTTTATAATCTACTGTATTTGAATGACACAGAAGAAACCCATTTCATTAGATGGAGGGCCCCAACCGGCCAATTCCTCCCATTTAAGACGGGGACTATGGAAGAAACCCAGGTCACGAGGTTTAATTTTGTGCTCCACATTTCAATGATTGACCCGGAAGAGAAAAAGAAAAGAAAAGAGAAAGGAGAAAAGAGAGAGAAAAATAGTTTTTTTCTTTTAAGTGTCACATTTTTAGAAGAAGGACCACTATGAGCCAAGATCACATTAAATTTTTCCATTTAAGGGATAATACACGTGTATAGTTTATGTCATCTACAAATTGTCAGTTATATCATTAAGGAACTCCAGCACTATTGTGTTACACCAAGTCCAATAATATACCAATATTTTATAGAGATTTATTATTCTTATGATACATAAGAAAAAAATTATCTCTTGCACACGTAAATTTAAGATAAATTTTACTTTATTTTATTTTATTTTTTTTATTGAAAGTGAATTCCACTTATACAAATAAGTCAATAGAAAATAA